CACGCCAGTACCAAATAATGGGATGGAATGGTTGTAGTCGTACAACCAATTGGACTACTGCACATTACCCTTTCATTATTTCTCATAGGCTGTTGGAAATAACCTAATAAGTGAGGTCCACTGGTACATCCATTTAAAATACGATATCCTCACAGTCTGATATACTAACGACGTCTAAACTAGTATAACTGGATACCCTTAGGATGTTCTAACAAACATCCTACGGACATAAGTATCTGATATACTGTGGCCGCTCCAATTAGTAACATCGTATATCCTTGGGACGTCTTAATATTCCGGGGACGTTTTACACCCGAACACGCCCGAACAAACCCGAAGATTCAAAATTTTCACGCACCAACCCGAATATTCCCGCCAAAATTCAAATTGTCCCGCCAAAAGAGGCTTAGAACCGATACTACTATACTACTATCAACCGAGATCATCAGTAGTAAAATCTTTGTGAGGTGAGGCGAGATCATTATTTTCCAATGAGAATTCCTGTCGGAATAGGACCCGTTAAAACTCCTGGCGTTTAAAATTCGGGAGGCGTTCGATGCGGGTCCACATCAATATCACTTATCCCTTCCCGGGGATAATTTCCTAATGTCTCCCGCGTCAGCCATCAATTTTCCGCAGCGTCTCGTGTTTGGCGTCGATCGCCTCCGCCGCCGATTTGCATCACGGTCACGTGGTCGCCGCCCCTAGCGCTTCTTCGTCCCCAAAATCTCCTTACAGGCCGGATTTCGGAGGCGGGGGAGCGGGTCTCGCCGCCGCCGGCATTATTAAGAGGTCACGAACTGCCTCATCGCACAGCGGTAGATCAAAGTTTCGCCCCTGATCGCGTGTTAATCTCCTCCTCCCTAAAGGAAGATAAACTCCCCCACCCTAAGACTCCAACGACTTTAAATCTTAAACCGTCCATGTTCATTATTAGACAGCTACTTTGAAAACGCGAACATACTTTCTTTAAAACTTTCAATTAATATAAATCTTGAGATTACCCCCGTATCATTGTATATTTAACCCAAATGAGATGATCTGGTCTGAGTTGAAAGCGAATATAAGAAGAAATAACACTGCGTCAAAATTTAGTGATGGTATCATAAAGGTAATTCGACAATATCAGTACAAAGCTGTTCTAACTGTGAAAAGAAGTAGAAGAAAATATTTATCGAAAACGTACTTATATCAAACTTGTTAGTGCAGATAGATAAATTCCTAGGACGGTCCTGGAATGGTTACGGGTAAGGCCCTGCTCTGCAGGGTGTTCTATAAGGCGGTGCGGTTTTGGGAGTAATAAACGGTAGGCAAAGTTAATCACGAGATTGTTTGTAAAAACACAATATTTCTGGTCATGGTATACCGGCGATGTGACCATTGCTCCCCAGCTCCGATTCTCGGCCCGATATTGCCAATGATTTATGGCCACGTTCACAAAGAACCGGGGCTAATAATTCATCGGGGGGTAGATATATTTTTAATTCGATCTGGACCCGTTCCTTTGCAACAAATTATTACTGTAATAATACGCGATCGTTTTGGAGCGGTGAACGTTGGTACTGAGAGCGTTAACCCCTTTGTCTTATCATCGGTCAGGGTTCATGCTTCGAATGTTCGTTGCTCGCTATTACTTTCCACGATCGTCTGAACTTTAAATGTCTTCGGAGCAATAACTCTCGAGTAAGCCCTGAACGGTCGATAGTGCAAGGGCATTTTCTAATTGAATTTAAAACATTTCAGGAAGTAATTTTTGAATCGATTTTAAGAAGAAACCTTCATTAGAACTGTTGAGGTACAGGGTGGTATTTTTTTAATACATATTTTTATATATTTATATATATTTTTTTGATTGGTAGATATATTAATTAAATTCGATAAATAGAGCAGTGGAACAATCCTTCTTTCGTTTCAGAAGTGGATGATGTAAAGCATGGTTTTTACGCCATTCTTGTTATGATTTTTTTTTGTTGCATTTAAAAGCTAAAAAATCAATAAGAAAAAGAGGAATTGCCAGATGACAAACGTGAAGTAAACACGCACGCCCATTAACACACCCTCCCAATATAAATATTTAGGCAATGTAGAATATTTAGTATATGTGAATAAAATAGTAGGTTTAACTTTAGTTAAAGGTTTTGAGATGCTAGCCGTCTTTATACAAACATTTCAGCTGCAAAAAGTTCGGTACGCAAAAGTTCTGTTAACAACCGTCGGACAAATACAGGGTGGTAGCAGAAAACAACTATTTCTGAATCAGGTAGAGCAAAATCGACTTACAGTCAAGATTTTTGAGGAACATTTAATTGTTAAAACCGCATGGTGATATCTGGACTGCCAATTGAGATAGAGGACTCACAACTATTTTTATAAAAATTTTGGATTTGGATAAAAACATCATTGGGGATTTTTTTTAAGGCAAATGCGATTCCTCATAAATCAATACAACTTTCTTATTTCATATGGCAATCATAGTTGGCTATGATCTTAAAAAATATTCGAGCCCTTTTTATCCATATAGATTTGATGGTATCTATCATCAAAAAAAATATTAGTAGGCCATGCATAATATGTTCAAAAGGCAAAAAAATAAAACATAAATATATAAATAGGGCTTCAAAAAATTCACGTTGTAATAATATTATAAAAAATTTACTTACACGATTCTCAAAGAAATAAAACATCAATAAATAAATGATACTAATTTATAATATTATAAAAAAATTTACTAACACGAACCTCAAAGAAATTAAACATGAACAAATAAATATGAATTCTAAAAATTTCGCATCATAATAATATTCTAAAAAAATTAACTCACACGAATCTCAAAGAAATAAAGCATACATGAATAAATAGGAATTACAAAAATGCACATTATAATATTATTAAAAATTAAAAATTAAAAATTTAATTAAAAATATTACTTCGCGTCCTATACATACAAATAACGTTCACGTCTGCGGTCTTTTTCAAAACGAACTTGTGCGCCGTCCCGCCGATTCTCGAACGCCGCCATTTCAATTTACGAACAAAATGAACAACGAAAAAAATAAATATATAAAAGATCCCGCGTTTCGCGCTCACAAATTTATTATCCCTGGGGCGGCATTCGTAACATCAAATTACGGTGTTTTCACTCCCCCCCACTCCACGGCGCCATACGTTTATTTACTCCGAACGTATGTGCTCGACCGTGCGCACTCGAAATGACAATTTACGAGAAGCCCTGGGATTTCCATCCCTTTGGCGGTCCCCTTTGATAATAACCAAAACTAACTAAAAATATAATATATAAAAATAGATAATGGCAAAATAAATTTTTTATTTATTTATTTTATTTATTTTTAGGGACGAAATACCACAGAATTTCCAGAAGATTACTGTTTGAATCAGGAATTACAATGATTGAAAATCGATTCACCAAAAAGAAAATATCGTTACTTTCTGGGAATTTAGAAAAAAGTGGAATGCAGTGTCCAGAACAAAGAATATTGGTTGAATACAGACATTAACATCTCTTGTATTAAAAAAAAACACTGCAGGTAGACCGAAAACTACTTCGGTCAACTCACCAATTGTGGTAAATATCGACGAACGCAAAATTTGAGGAAAAATGATATAAGTGAGCTGTCATTTGCTACAGAACTAAATCTTCGGGTCTCTGGTAACCGGGCAAATCCGATCTCGAATTCTATCACTTCTTCGCCAAATACTTTGAAAAATATTAATAAAAATGTATTAAATTTTAAGCAGCCAACGTCTTCCATGGAATTAAATCAACCACAATTGGCGTTATATTTGGATCTAAACTTCAATACCAGTTGCTTAGAAATAATGCAAAGAGAACAACTGCAATTTGTATCCAGCGTACAGCAAAGTGAGGAAAGCTAAGCGACGGTGTTATCCTGAAGATATTTGTGTTACATTGCAGAAATTTTTTGGACCATGCTACTGCTAGATTGCTAGATTAAAACAACTTGATTCTTTTTTCCCAAATGGAGCATGGATGGCAACTCTGGACAGAAGGAATATAAACAATCATTTCAGTATGATCATTCTGACAGTTACTTACTTTAGTCATGTTTAGCGCCTATTCAACTTTTTTATGAACCTGAAGCAAACGACAAGTATTTTATCTGACAAAATCCTCAGCCATCGTCAACCATATATTGCGGGACCCTGAAAGAAACTACCCGAATATCACTAAGAGAAAAGGAAAAAAATAGACGAGGAGATAAAAACCTTGTCGATACTTTTGTTATGTTGAAAATGAAACAAACCTATTAAGTATGACTTCCGAATGACCACGATCGATGGAAAAACGGTTAGCTGTTTAACCGGAACAAGTTCACAGGTTTGCTATTTGTGTAATGCTTCTCCGACAATTGACCAAATCGAAAATATTTTGATGGGGTCGATAAATGGGGAATACCTGGTATATGGCATTCCTCAAATCGCAAATTTATGCAAAATAAAAGCTTTAAATAAAAACGGATGTAGTACCGAATTTGCAAGAGCCTTTCAAAGAACGACGAACTAGCGACTCTGATTAAGCGTTGATTTAAATTTAAACTTGTTATATTATTATTAATAGCTAATTAAAGTTGATCCTGTTTAATTTTATTTAATATCTCAGAATACAGAATCCAAGGTGATATTTTTCTACATTATTCCCTCATCCAAAGGGTCTGCAAGGGTGCAAGTATTTGTCATAGAATGAATTTTAAATACCGCATCTTCTATTTTCTAAATAAATGCCTGATAAAGACAATGAACATGAACGAACTTCATATCCACATATACTGTTTTCTCATTAGTTTGGCTTTTACTTGCTCCATCACGAGATTTCAGACAAAAAACAGCCTTTAAATAATTTTTCAATCTTTTTGGGTTATCCTGAGACGTGTCCGCATGTGATGAAATACGTTCTATTAGAAGAAGCCACAGTGGCGACACCACTATGAGCATTTGTTGGTGTTTCAATTACTTCGGCTTACCTTCGTTATCGATGGAGAACAGGCCGATACCGTCGCCGCCCTTGATCGCATATTCGACGTTACTGTCACCACCCGGAGGATCCGCATCCGTCGCGTTCACTCGCGTCACTACCGTTCCCGGAGGTTTATTTTCCGACACTTTGCCAACGAGCACCGAGTCACTAAAAGTAGGCACGTGAACGTTTTCGTTCACGTCGACTACGTGGACGGTGACCGTCGCCTCCGACGATAGACTCGGGTTACCCCTATCCGAAGCGAACACCATCAGACTGTGCACCTGGCGTTCCTCAAAGTCCAAAGCTTTCGTGGTCCTTATCGTGCCGGACAGTTTGTCGACCACGAAGGTCCCGTCGCTGTCGCTGTCTTCCAACGAGTATCGCACTTCGCCGTCGACGCCCAGGTCCGGATCGAAGGCGGTGACGACGGCTACGACCGTACCTTTGGGAACATCCTCGCGTATCTTTACAGAATAATTCGGCAAACTGAACTTGGGGGCGTTGTCGTTAATGTCGTCCACGGATATCCGCACCACCGCCTCCGAAAACAGCGGGGGGTTGTCCGGTTCTTTGCCGCCGCCGTCCGTCGCCCGGATCCTCAACTCGTAAATATCCTGTCGTTCCCTGAAACCAAATAATTCATAGAGTGACAAAAATACCAGTAGGTTTCCGTTTGTAACGTCAAACCAAAAGTAGTTTCTATGGGCTTCATAAAACAACGTAATTAACTTAGAGTTGATAGACGGGGCACAAGTAGATTCGGTTTATGCAGATATCAGAAAAGCTTTTGACAAGGTTTCCCATAAGGCTCTCACCAATAAGCTTTAGAATATCACTTGTATTCTACAGTTGAAAGTTTTCAGTTTGTTAAGTTGTAGGCTCTGACCCTCACAGAATGACCTCATGAATCCCTCAAGGTCCTTGGTCTTCTTCTTAAGCTTGCACGCGTACATAAGGTGATCTCTGATTACTCTGGCTCCAGACCTAAATAGCCACCGTGAAAGTGCTTTCGAATAACTATTTTAGGCTTAAAAATAACATTGACTTTTGGTACTGTTAGACTACGACTAGACTCATTATGGAGAGCAAAATCGAAGCTAAACGAAGAATCTCTTGGTTGGGCAATCTTCGATAATGGTTTGGTCGATCGTCATTTGAATTAGGAGAAAGGAGAAGCTGATACAAGAAGAAGAGTTAGACTGCGAGTTATTGTGTGAGGAACATATTGAAACAATACTTTATAACTCGCACCGAAACTTGGGATTTAAAATGTCAGTTTCCAGAAATTTCACTCCTAAATCCGTGATTCTTTCTTGTCAGGTCAAACTTGGAATACGCGTATTAAGTATGGAATATTTCAAGTGCATTAACAGAATAGAAAACATCCAGTATAAGTTTATACGGTATCCTGCGTTCAAAATAAACCTACTTTCAGCGTTCATGCCCTTCCTTTAGCTCCGTCCCCCTCAGAAAATATAAACTTGAGCGAACAGAAATCGGCCAATTGTGGACTGTTGACATCAATTTCATTTTTTGTTTAGAAACTACTGATAAGATAAAAAAAACATGCTGTTTGAAAGGCAATTTAATATGCTTTAATACGAGTTCAAATTGATTAAAATTTATTTCTGCTTTTCACGTTTACCATAGTAAAATAACTGCACGAATCAAATTAACTTTTCTTAATTACTAAAAACAAAAAGGATCGTCGACAATTAACAACTCAACACTTATTTTTTAATAATGGGTATGAACACCTCTTGCCCTAATCTCTTACTCGATTAGGCAGATCCAATCAAATTCGTTATTGTTTCCTGTGGAATGCTAAGCCACTCTTCCTCTACTGCAACAATAAGCTCTGGGATTGTGGTTAGGGTACGAAGTTTAGCTCGAATTCTCCGTTATCGCTCATCCCATAAATGTTCGATCGGATTGAAGTTGGGACTGCATGCTGGCCACTCCATATCTCGAAAATCGTCTTCTGTAATGTAATCTTGCACGATCCTTATGGTGTGCGGCCTAGCATTTTCATGCATAAAAATGAATTCTTCTCCAATGTAGTCGTCATATGGACCACTTGATCTGATAAAATATCCTCGATGTACCACCTGGTAAATCTTGACCACGACCGCTCCTACGGATGAAAACAGGGTCCGTTCGTGAGTTCATAGAAATTCAGTACACTTTTTTTCGTAGGTCACTACCAAAAAGGCATCTAATCTGACAACAGAACAGATCTCCATTGATCCAATGCCCAATGCGGATGATCCCATGGAAAGCGTAGGCGGGCTTGTCGATGAGCTTTACTTTTGGACCAATTGCAGTTGTTTTTGGGATCAGGTTATATTCCTTAAGGTGGCGATTTCTTATTATTGTTCTTCAAAGCGGTCATCGCGAGCAGTTGTGATTCGCCTTCTGCCTTTTCCAGAACGTCCAGCAAAGGATCCAGTCTCCTCATACCGTTGGCATACTCTTCGAACTGCTGCGCGTGTCATATTCAGTTGTCAAGCATCAACTCGCTCCATTTTCGATTACGGTATCAGTCTAACGCGATTAAACGCTATCCAAACAACGTGAACATTCCAGTTGCAAAGGGGAGTAATTTAAGTTACTATAAGTATTGCATGAACACGTTTCATTTCTTTAACCGTAGCTACGCGTATAAAAGATCAGCACTTTTGACAAATTTAAACTCATACCAAAAATATTAAGTTTTCTTTCAAATGGCATGTTTATTTTTTGGGTGAGATGAATAGTTTCTAGAAAAAAATATACTAAAATCAAAAAATTACACTGGAAGTTTATAAGCAGCAGTTTATATGCGAACCAGTTTCAGTTGAAGAAACCAACGTTAGCAGTTTCGTAAATAGTATACCCATAACAATTAATCATACCGTGATTTCCAATCCTTTTTCTTTTCTTGTTTGGTTAATTGGTTCATTAAACTTTTATGAACATTTTTTTCTAATTATTATCTGCCAATCGTACATTATATCGGGTACCATAATAAATAAATAATACATACCTGTCCAAAGCTCGGGATACGGTCAGGACGCCCGTAGTTCGGTCCACGGCGAAGTCTTTGGTGTCGGTCGCCAGCGAATAGGTGACCTTGGCGTTGTCCCCTTCGTCGGCGTCGGTCGCGTTCGCCCTGAAGATGACGGTACCGTTCTTCGCGTTTTCCGTCACCCGGAAACTGGCCAGACTTTTCTCAAACTTGGGCGCGTTGTCGTTGACGTCTATCACGCTGATCGGCAACACGCGTGACGACGACTTCTGCGGCTTTCCCAAATCGTACACCGTCACGTTCAGGAAGTACTCGAACTCGCGCTCCCGATCCAAGTAACCGATCACTTTGAGCTCCCCCGTTTCCATGTCGACGCAAAACTGAGAACGTTCGTCGCCGCCGGATATCCCGTAGACGAGTTTGCCGTTGTAGCCGAGGTCGCGATCTCTGGCTCTCAACTTCACCAACGAAGTGCCCAACGCGACCGATTCGTTCACCTTGATCTCGACGGGGAAGTCGACGAATTCGGGCGCGTGGACGTTTTGCCCGTAACGCGTCGGCATCATCGGGAAATCCTCCACGGCGACGGGCCCGTTATTGTTCTCGGCGTCGGCCAAGACCTCCGTCAGTCTCCTCGCGACGCCGGTATCCCTGCACTCGAACATCCCGGTGTCGTCGGTGAGCAATCTGCCGCTGGTGAACGCGCTTCTCTTGGTGTTCACCAGCTTGAACTTCACCCTGGCGATGTCGGCGAAGTGGGTGTTGTCGGTGGCGGTGACATTTAGCTCGCGTTCGGACACCTTGACGTCGTTCAGGTCGCAGCTGACGCTGATGGTGCCCGACGTCGGGTCCACGTTGAAGCATTTGTCTTCGTTTCCGGACACGATACGGTAACTGATTATCTGGCCGGAGTCGAAATCGATCGCCGACAGGGTTATGATTTCGGCCCCGATGGGTACGTGCCTCGACACGTGACCCATACAGTCGACCTTCTCGAACTGTGGGCGGTTGTCGTTGATGTCTTTCACCTTGACCGTGAGCTGCATCTCCGTTTGCCGTCGATACGGCAGGCCCCAATCTGACGCCCGCACCCTCAACACGTACTCGCGCCTCATGCTCTCGTAGTCGAGTAGCTGGGTGGTTTTGACGGTACCCGAGAAGTGATCGATCTCGAACGGAACCTGGTTCAAATTCGCGATGAGGTAGGATATGTAGGCGTTCTCGCCGCGGTCTTTGTCCTTCGCGTGTACCGTCGTCACCGAAGTACCGGCCGGTAGGTTCTCGTCTATCCACACCGTCATCTCAGACTTGTCGAATATCGGATCGTTGTCGTTCGTGTCTTCGACGTACACCTTCACCTTTAAAGGCGTATAAGAAAATTAGCAGGGTTGTAGACATGAGAGGAGAAAGTTTTAAGTATATGCAGACATCGCCGTATGTATAAATCAAGGAATTTCAGTATCAAATACTGCGACAGAAGCCAGAAAGAGAAAGTCGCACGACATATATTTATATTTATATATATATATATTATATATATATATATATATATATATATATATATATATATATATATATATATATATATATATATATATATATATATATATATATATATATATATATAGGGTTTTTCACTTAAAACTCCGCACGCCAATAACTCCAAAACGAAAAGAAATATTTAATTTATGTAAAAAGTAGTCAAAGTGTGGGGTCAAGTAGATATTTCTTAAAGTTTAAAAAATGCGACGCCTGCAAAGAGCTGGGCGTCGCGACGCGTCGAAAACTTATTCGATTGCAGAGACTTTGGAAATACGCGCATACAAAAGTACATATTATTTAAAAACTTTTTTGTTATTTACTCAAACTTATTTACTTTACCCGTTTCTAAGTTATACCGATTTAAAGCAAACATTTCTTGATTAATAAAAAATGTGATTAACGCTTATTTTTACAAGTATGCCATGAATGTTAGTTACTATGGCAACCATTGTTATCGCAGTTGTTTTAAGTACAATTACAAACAATAGATTTCAACTATTTTAGTATGATTTTATTTATTATTTTTTATCGATTTAGTTCTGATAACATGATAAATAAATGAAAAAACAGTAAAATACCTACAAGTTAATAACCAAAATTATTATTGCAATTAACTACATAATAAGACATTTCAAAAATTTTGTTCAAAATTATGTCCATCTGCTCGAACACAACTATCAAAAACTTTTAACAGATGAGCTTGGGTCACTTGTAGGAGAGTCCTTCTTGTGATAGCGGCACACGCTGCACTAATTATGTTAATGAGATCAGCCATATCTTCGATAGGTTCTTCCTAGATAACGTTTTTTAGGTAGCCCCAAAGAAAATAATCTGGTGGTGTAATGTCCGGGGACCTCGCCGGCCACCTCTCTCTTCTCGGTTCAAATACCTCGTTACTATTTGGGCATTATGTGCAGGCGCTCCATCCTGCTGTAGCCACATATTCATTCTAGTGTCAAGAGGCACTTCTTCTAATAGTTCCGGAAGTGTAGTTTGAAGAAATCTTAAATAGCGATCGGCATTTAAAGTTCCTTCGTAAAAGTAAGGTCCAATAAAGAATCCATTTAATATGCCGCACCAAACATTGATACTTAAAATTCGTTGGTTACCTCTTTCTGTAATCCAACGAGGATGGTTTTCGGACCAAAAACGACAGTTGTGTCTATTAACGATTCCATTATTTTGATATCGACTTTTGTCGCTCCATAAAATTTTCGAGAGAAAATCGCCTGTTTCTAGTTTATGAACTAGTTTACTTTTGTACGGGTGAAAAGAGTTTCTATGTAGAATTCTCCACGAAGAACTTATGGTAACACCGGTATTTTCTTTTATCTCTGACAGGAATATCTTGGGGTTATTATCAACCTGCTGAATTATAGCAGCAGTATTTTCATCATTTGTAGCCGTCCTGTTCCTATCTCTTTTAGGTTTTATGAAGCTACCATATTCTCTTAAGTTTTTACATAAACTTAAAAAGGTTTTTGCCTCGGGGACTCTTCTATGCGGATAACGCCGTGCGTAAACTCTTTTTGCTTCTCTACAATTGCATCTGCATTCTCCAAACACCAGTAACATGTCTACTTTTTCCTCAGTGCTAAATTGCACCATTTTCACATAATAATTCTTAGTTTTTTTTTAACCGAACAAATTTGGATATTTCTCGTGACAAAATGTGACAATTTTTTGATACAGCAATAACAACTTACGTTTGTAATTGCACTTAAAACAACTGCGATAACAATGGTTGCCATAGTAACTAACATTCGTGGCATACTTGTAAAAATAAGCGTTAATCACATTTTTTATTAATCAAGAAATGTTTACTTTAAATCGGTATAACTTAGAAACGGGTAAAGTAAATATGTTTGAGTAAATAACAAAAAAGTTTTTAAATAATATGTACTTTTATATGCGCGTATTTCCAAAGTCTCTGCAATCGAATAATTTTTCGACGCGTCGCGACGCCCAGCTCTTTGCAGGCGTCGAATTTTTTAAATTTTAGGAAATATCTACTTGACCCCACACTTTGACTACTTTTTACATAAATTAAATATTTCTTTTCGTTTTGGACTTATTGGCGTGCGGAGTTTTAAGTGAAAAACCCTGTATATATATATATATATATATATATATATATATATATATATATATATATATACAGGGTTTTTCACTTAAAACTCCGCACGCCAATAAGTCCAAAACGAAAAGAAATATTTAATTTATGTAAAAAGTAGTCAAAGTGTGGGGTCAAGTAGATATTTCCTAAAATTTAATATATATATATATATATATATATATATATATATATATATATATATATATGACGAAAACTGTTCTTAGGACCACCACTAACTGTTTTTTAACCAAAGTCGCGCTTAGCATGCCCATTTAGGCACTGATTCCTAAAGTGAAATTATTTTCGAAAAGTAACGGAAATATCGTCTTTTTTTTGGACATATTTAATGTAATGTAAATGTAAACGGCAGATGTACGTGTGTTATTTTGAAAGATTTATGGACAAAATAAGAACACATACTGAATAAAAAAAAACCGAAACATTGATTTTATTTAAACAAATGACAAGAGTTTATCTTTATACATGTAATTTTCTACAATCCATTTATTAACAGTAGTGGTTCATCATGAATTGCCGTAAACAACAAATTTTTGCAAGTTGTTAGATTTCTCCATATATTGTTTTTCGAACAATTGCTTCACCTTTTGCAATTTAACTTTTTATTCTTCTTCAATATTTTAATAATTTTCATTGTACTCTTCTGTACTCCTAATTAGGATTTTGCTCCTTAATACATTTTACATTTTAATACATAAGAACTTTTGTTCTGGCCGCTTCATCCATCACAAAATAGTCGCACTGTTTCAAAATGGGTCATATCCAAAGAGCGCAAATGCCAAACTAAGGCTGACCCAACTTCAGTTGATTCTCATTTTGCTTAAGATTCATCCCAGGTATAAAACATTGATTGTTTGCTGTCCATATCTACACAACAGAACGCGTAATGGTTGATTTGACGTCTGAAAGCATTATAAATTCTTAAATGAGTCGTTGATTTCATCTTCTTCCTACCTGTAAACCGCAAAAACCAATGTCAAAATCGTAGTAGAAAATGTTCTTGAACATTGTAATGCTCATTGAACATTTCGAAGAGTTTGTGCTTATTCAAGTCACATGACAGGACTTCTTACGATGACTTTACCAAGCTGGTACTGAAGACATGAATTCTTTTACTTTACATTTCTTCTGTAGGGCTTTTTTTGGAAATCTTATCATGCTTGGTTGTGTTTCGGCATACCTCAGCCATAAAGAAAAATTCATACCTTCTGGACATAACTTCTTCACGATCCATATACTGTTTTCACAGCACTACTTCCTATTACTTTCGAATGGCGCTGCATAGGTTAATAGCAAAGGTTTATAGGTTATGGTGACATAAACCGCGAGAAGGAACCGAAGAAGAAACGTTGTACATACTACAACTGTATCGTCAGCTATTAGTGAAATTCTACAAATGCAGAATTATAATATAGAAAACTGTTTCGTATGCAACATGGACGCGAGTAGTTTTGAAAGAAACAGTTGTGGTCAGTTGTCTGAATTTTCCCATGGGTTTACCATAGGACAAGATTTATTTCGCTCAACTCGGTTATGATATTTAGATTAAGGTTCAGAAACCTTTGCAAGATTCATCCCTCGACTAATTTTGAACATACAGGGTGTGTCCTATTAGACCTTTATGGCAAGATATAAAAATAAATTTTACGTGAGAATTCTCTATATTTTCCCGTAAATGATAATTAATTTTCCATCTAAAAGTACCATACTATGATATATCTATTAACACTGGTTGTCGAATTATAAGCAACAAAACAGAAATACTGCCGTTAAAGCGAATTAAAGTAATCACATTTCATCTGGGTAGCAGGCTCTGGCCGGCCATGGTGACGTAAATGTAAAAAAATAATTGACATTTCTAGATGCCAAGACGGATATTTTGAATTTGTTTTACATTTATGGTTAGTGTCAAAGAATTGTTTCAAATAACTTGCATAAGCTTTAATAAACAATATTCGCATTTGCCACCAATGTATGCAACTGATATACTCAAGAACAATAAGATGCATAACTACAAAATAATTACATTAAAATCTCTTTTCCCCCTTGATTGCAAAATTAAGCGTAACCATTTATTCCTCTTTAACATTAGTTTTGTGTAAAACAGTTGTTGGCATATGTATCAAGATGATTCAAGAACTGGTCGACCAGTGGAGGTCATAACGGAAGAGGTGGTATTGAGCGATTGACGTTTAAAGGTCAAGGAAATCTCAGAAATTACTAAGCTTTCTGATACAAGTGTTCGTCGAATCCTGCATGATCATTTAGGTATGCTTAAGGTTGTGCATAACGCCGTGTCGAGTGTGCGCGGTGTTTTTTGGAACTCTGTGGGTCGGAACCGAAGCCATTGATAGAAACTATTGTGACGGGAGATGAAACTATGGTGACCCTCTAACGAAAAGAGAATCAATGGAGTCGCGTCGTAAGGGTGAAGCATCTCCAAGAAAATTCAGAGTCTGCCAGTCAACAAACAATGTGATGGCCACGATCTTTTGCGATTGTGAAGGAATTCTTTTGATAGATTTTAAAGAAACTAATATCACTGTCAATGGTAAATATTACGCAACATTATTACATACATTGCGAGACTGCATACGTGTAAAACGTCGAGGAAAACTGACCAGAGGCGTGCGTCTATTGCACGATAATGCACCTGTTCATACTACTGGTGTTGCACAAGCTGTCATTTTAGAGTATGGGTTCCAACCGATAGATCATCCTCCGCATAGCCCCCAGCGACTATTATTTCTTTGTATATTTGATTCTTTGTATATTTGAAACGTCCATAAACGTCTAATGTAAAATGGACATGCGTTGTTTTGCATTCACGCTCCTCATCTATTATTTGATTGCAAAGAAGACCGAACGAGATGACATTAACATTTAAGGTTCAACATTAGCCGTAACTCACCTTCGCCGACGACTGCTTCCTGGTGCCCGCGTTGCCCTGGTCGATGGCGGACACTGTCAGACTGTAAAACTGCTTATTCTCCGCGTCCAAAGGCACCGCGGTGTACAACATGCCGGTCTCCGGGTTGATGTTGAACTCGCCGCCCTCGTTGCCGCCCACAATTTCGAGGAACACCTGAGCGTTTCTACCCTCGTCGGCATCGGTCACCTTTAGCCGGATCAGGGGCGTGTTTATCGGGGCGCTTTCGGGCACCTTCACGTCGTAGATCTCCTTGTTGAAGACGGGCGGGTTGTCGTTCAGATCCGCCAGCTGAACCGGCACAGACTTGTAGCTCTCTCGGGGAGGTATACCTCGATCGACGGCCCGCAGCTGCAGCTGGTATCCTTGGGGCGTTTTTTCCCTGTCGAGCAGCTTCAACACTTCGATGTTGTACTCGCCCTTCTGACGGGTCGCCCTGATACGAAAATGGCCGTCGGGATCGCCGTCTACGATTTCCAACCGGTCTATTTCGCCGTGTATCCCGCTATCTCTGTCGGATACGTTCACTATGGCGTAGATGTCGGCGTTCGAGTTCTCGACTATCTGCGGGTGGCGCCTTATCCGTATTTCCGGTGCGAAAAAGTTCACCTTCTTCACCCGGATGCGGACTTTAGCGGTGCTCATGCCGGTACTCTGTCTAGGAGGCACGCCCCTGTCCTGAGCCAACACCGTCAGCTCGTGGTAGGTACCCTCGTGGTACCTCAACGGTCTGGTCAGTGTTACGACGCCGGTTATGGGATGAATGGCGAACTTGTTGGTCTGTTCCGCGAAGCTGTAGTAGATTTCGCCGTTTCGACCTAGGTCGGCGTCCTCGGCGATGACTTTGACGATACTCCGGTGCACCGGGGTGTCTTCCGCGACGGTGGCGTTGTACTCCATCGGGTAAAACAACGGACTGAGATCGTTCACGTCGAGGACGGTCACGACGACGGTAGTATCCGACGTGTATTGGACTTTCTGCTTGCCCTCCCTAATACTGGCCGTAGCTCTCACCTGGAGCACGTACTTGTCTTTGCGTTCCCTGTTGAGCACGTCGTTGTTGCCGGTCTTGATGCGGACGAAAAGGAAACAAAATTCGCCCACCAGCCGGTGCTCGGCTTTGAAAAACTTGTCCCTGTCTCCATCGACTATCTTGTACCTAATATCTGAGAACGTATTCGGAGGAACCACAATACCCATGGGTCGGGAACCGGGAGACCGGGCGGCGTAGGTCTTTGCGACGCTGTTTTCGGGGATGCTGACGTTGTACAGCTGATCGGTGAAACGGAACACGAGATCGTCGGCGGCGGCGAGCCCATCCTCAGCTTGGTCGGCGAACGGTACCAGAAAAAACACCAACAGCAGTGATACCGATGCGGGAGGCAACGCGCATCGATGCATCTTATTTTCGGCTCATCACGGATGAACCTGAAACGAATGGACGCTTATAGTACCACGAACGTTTATTTCTGGTGAGTAAGCCAAGGAGATCTTTTTTTGTGTATACTAATCGGTCGAATAGGAGCAAGAATTTCAAACATCTTGACTAATACTGCGGTGAAGTAAGCGTACTTTTTCGTCATGTAGGTACGGTGCGTTCAATTTATCTTGATAACACTTTAATTGGCTGTAATTTTTTGGTTTTTGAGACATCAAGGTAAACATAAAAACGAAATGTAGGGTTAGTGGCCAAATTATTTTCCAAGTGACGTATAAAACAAAACACTATCAATTTTCTGACATATAAGCCTACACCATAATTTTTTAAATGGAACACTCTGTAAATTATATATGTGTTTCATAGAATACCTTATTCCGAATATAGTAATGTAACATACTATACAATCTGCGTTCTCCTATCATCAATGATTCAAGTAGTTCAATGTATCTATCTTTCTTCCAGTCCGATAATAAATCCAGGTTCAGATCCCCTCTAAAAATTACATCATGGACACAAAAACTTGAAATCTGTTTTTTAGGATATTCAAATAGTCAATGTTTCATTGAGAATTCTCAATTTTATCCAAATTTCTTAAAGAAGCTCTTCAGACTCGATATGCGAAATTTCATATTTAAAACGCTATAGACGAGGTGCATCAACAAAGGAATTCTGGACGTCTGCCCTAACCCGATAATCGAAATTCCCGCGGTGTCATCGCATGTCCCCCCGAGTCCCCCCGGGGGGGGGGGGAAGCGTATGGAACCGCACTGATTATAACTGATCCGGGATAACTTAGATGAACTCGGACATTCCGTAATACTGGGCATACCGGCCCGAGATGATTTAGGAACCCTTATTAGTTGCTCTTAAATGCCATTCCGCGGCGCTGGCAGCCCCTGAATTCCTGCTGGGCAGCGGGGGTGAGCGGACACGACAAGGAATTTACGCCGCGCATCGCTGCACTGAGAAAAAACTTCTTATCTTCTTATCGCGCCGTCTCTTTAGGAAGGCTGCCGGTCCATATAGCTAAACGAACTTTGGAAACTGCTGTTCTGAAAATATCATTTGACGAACATCCAAACCAAATTAAACGTAGGATTTATATATATATATATATATATATATATATATATATATATATATATATATATATATATATATATATATATATACAGGGTTTTTCACTTAAAACTCCGCACGCCAATAAGTCCAAAACGAAAAGAAATATTTAATTTATGTAAAAAGTAGTCGAAGTGTGGGGTCAAGTAGATATTTCCCAAAGTTTAAAATATTCGACGCCTGCAAAGAGGTGGGCGTCTCGACGCATCGAAAAATTATTCGATTGCAGAGACTTTGGAAATACGCACATACAAAAGTACATATTATTTAAAAACTTTTTTGTTATTTACTCAAACTTATTTACTTTACCCGTTTCTAAGTTATACCGATTTAAAGTAAACATTTCTTGATTAAAAAAAATGTGATTAACGCTTATTTTTACAAGTATGCCATCAACGTTAGTTACTATGGCAACCATTGTTATCGCAGTTGTTTTAAGTGCAATCACAAACGTAAGTTGTTATTGCTGTATCAAAAAATTGTCACATTTTGTCACAAGAAATATCCAAATTTGTTCGGTTAAAAAAAAAACTAAGAATTATTATGTGAAAATGGTGCAATTTAGCAATGAGGAAAAAGTAGACATGTTACTGGTGTTTGGAGAATGCAGATGCAATTGTAGAGAAGCAAAAAGAGTTTACGCACGGCGTTATCCGCATAGAAGAGTCCCCGATGCAAAAACCTTTTCAAGTTTATGTAAAAACTTAAGAGAATATGGCAGCTTTATGAAACCTAAAAGAGATAGGAACAGGGCGGCTACAAATGATGAAAATACTGCTGCTGTAATTCAGCAGGTTGATAATAACCCCAAGATATCCCTATCAGAGATAAAAGAAATTACCGGTGTTACCATAATTTCTTCGTGGAGAATTCTACATAGAAACTCTAACTCTTTTCACCCGTACAAAAGTAAACTAGTTCATAAACTAGAACCAGGCGATTATGCTAGAAGAATGTATTTCTTAGCGACATTGTCCGATTTATATAGCCAAGATGCAAATTTTCTCTCGAAAATTTTATGGAGCGACGAAAGTCGGTTTCAAAATAATGGAATCGTTAATAGACACAACTGTCGTTTTTGGTCCGAAAACCATCCTCGTTGGATTACAGAAAGAGGTAACCAACGAATTTTTAGTATCAATGTTTGGTGCGGCATATTAAATGGATTCCTTATTGGACCTTACTTTTACGAAGGAACTTTAAATGCAGATCGCTATTTAAGATTTCTTCAAACTACACTTCCGGAACTATTAGAAGAAGTGCCTCTTGACACTAGAATGAATATGTGGCTACAGCAGGATGGAGCGCCTGCACATAATGCCCAAATAGTAACGAGGTATTTGAACCGAGAATATCCCAATAGATGGTTTGGTACTAATGGACCGGTAAGGAGGCCGGCGAGGTCCCCGGACAATACACCACCAGATTATTTTCTTTGGGGCTACCTAAAAAACGTTATCTATGAAGAACCTATCCAAGATATGGCTGATCTCATTAACAAAATTAGTGCAGCGTGTGCCGCTATCACAAGAAGGACTCTCCTACAAGTGACCCAAGCTCATCTGTTAAAAGTTTTTGATAGTTGCGTTCGAGCAGATGGACATAATTTTGAACAAAATTTTTGAAATGTCTTATTATGTAGTTAATTGCAATAATAATTTTGGTTATTAACTTGTAGGTATTTTACTGTTTTTTCATTTATTTATCATGTTATCAGAACTAAATCGATAAAAAATAATAAATAAAATCATACTAAAATAGTTGAAATCTATTGTTTGTAATTGCACTTAAAACAACTGCGATAACAATGGTTGCCATAGTAACTAACATTCATGGCATACTTGTAAAAATAAGCGTTAATCACATTTTTTATTAATCAAGAAATATTTACTTTAAATCGGTATAACTTAGAAACGGGTAAAGTAAATAAGTTTGAGTAAATAACAAAAAAGTTTTTAAATAATATGTACTTTTGTATGCGCGTATTTCCGAAGTCTCTGCAATCGAATAATTTTTCGACGCGTCGCGACGCCCAGCTCTTTGCAGGCGTCGAATTTTTTAAACTTTAGGAAATATCTACTTGACCCCACACTTTGACTACTTTTTACATTAATTAAATATTTCTTTTCGTTTTGGACTTATTGGCGTGCGGAGTTTTAAGTGAAAAACCCTGTATATATATATATATATATATATATATATATATATATATATATATATATATATATTTCGAAAGCCTCGAGTCTCTTTTCGCAGCAAGTAACAAAGGGCCAATAGTCACATCCATATAAAAGCACAGAAAACACATAGGAGGAGAAAAAAACTAAACTCACGGGCTTCACGGTCAAAGCCATTTCTGATATACCTTCAAAACCTTAAAACCCCCCGGGAGGAGGGGAGCGGACACTGCTTATTCTCGAATTCTCGTGTTCCTGGTGTCGAACGAAATTTCACAACAACGGGTATTGCAGTATCATAAAGAATAGGAGGGGTACTAATAGCGTTCGAAGCGAAGATCAATTCGCAATACGGACAGGAGGAAATGGAAAAATATCTTCCGACTGACTTACCAATAGTTATAATGAATTATTGCTGGAAAATGAAAGACGACATCGAAGAAGAAAACAAAACGTAGGATCGTGATGACGTAGAAGACGCATTATTAATAATATCAGGAGAAGAAGACAATTGTTTAGTATCGTAAGCATTTTTTCTGTTTCTACCGGCACCTCTTACGGTTTAACCAAACAATAAACATTTGCTCACTCTTTAATCAGCTAAAATAACCCCCCGGAGTTTGAAAGAAAAAGAAGGGGTTGTTCCGACTGCTTACGGCGTTGTTCGATTTACGTTGCGGCGAAAAAGGCCGCTAGTTTTCGCAAACTTCCGTGCCCCATTAAAAAGAGCAATTACTACGTCCCCGAAGTTTGAACTCCTCGCGTGGTTCCTCGACGTTCTTTTGTTTCGATTTAACTAAAATGCGCCGCGGCCGCGCAACCGCCAAAAATTCAATAATAATTATTTACGTTATTTTTGTTTTCGTTAAACATTTTACCAATCCTCGAAGCACTTCTGGTATAGCCTTGAGTTCTTACAGCGATTTTTTCTTTATATCTTTAAACGTTGCAAACCTCCTTCGTTTCATGGGTTTCTTGAGTTTTGGGAACAGGAAAAAGTCGCAGGGTGAATATAGTGACTGAGGCATATTGGTTTTGTTGGACAGAAGCAACGATGAGTGAACAAATGCATTATGGTCTATGAATTGTCTTCCCACAATTTCAGACGTTTTCTTCGTATTGCTTCTCCGAAACGGAGCGTAACTTCAAGGTAATACTCTTTATTGACGTACGACGCCCTGGTAAGAACTCTTGATGTACTACACCACGATAATCAAAGAAAACAGGAAGCAAAACCTTGAAATTTGATCGAACTTGACGTGCTTTTTTTCGGTCTTGCCGATTCTGAATTCTTCCATTGTGACGATTTTTTGAGCATATCAGGTTCACCATTGACGTCGTTTAATAGCTCTTGTGTGATACTCCTTTGACGGTCCTTTTGTTCAAAATTAAGCAGTTTCGGAACAAATTTCGCTGCTACACGTTTCATGCCCAAAACTTGGGGAAAATTCCATAGCACGAGCCAGTAGAGATGCGGACGTCTTCAGCCAGTTCTTCATACCATTTATTTCACTTCTTCAATGATCCAGAGCGAGGTCCGTTATCGCCGTCTTCTCGGCCATCTTGGAACGGCTTGTACCCCTTATACATTTTTTTTTGCTTTAATTAGATTCACCCTTGACACCATTTCATTGTATACACTACATTGCAATTTTACTTGTTATTGCCACCAATTTAATATACGCAGTACC